TGAAAGTATTGTAGACAGCCAAAAGAACAAATAAATCTGTGTTGGCAGAAGTACAGCCAGAGTGCTCCTTGGAAACCAGGATGGCCAGACTTCGTCTCACATACTTTGGATATAGTATCAGGAAGGACCAGTCACTGGAGAAGGATATCATGTTTGGTAAGGTGGGGGGTTGAAGAAAGAGAGGAAGACCCCCAGGGAGATGGACTGGCACAGTGGCAGCATCAGTGGGCTTAAATGTATACAAGATTGTGAGGTTGGCGCAGGACTGTGCAGAGTTTTGTTCTTTTGTGCATTGGGTCACTATGAGTCAGTACAGACTCGATGGCACCTAACAACATCAGAATCACCGACTTTGCAGTTCAAACTGACCCTGAGTTTGAGTGCTTATCCTACGGCGCCACACCAATATTTAGAGCAGCTTTACTCATAATTGCCCAGATTTGGAAGCAAACAACTTCAACAGGTGGTACATGCATGTTGGAGTTATTCAACAACGAAAAGAAATGAGCTTTCAAACTACGAAAGTGCATGGAGGAAGCATAAATGCATAGTAACACTGGCTGTTTGTTTCCATCCAACATGATGGCATTTCTGGAAAAGGCGCAAAAACATACTTGTTGTTGTTAACTATATGTTGTTGTTGTGAAGTGCCACTAAGTCAATTCTTACTCATAGCGACCCTATATAGGGTTTCCAAGCAGCAGCTGGTGAGCTTGAACCACCGACCTTGCAGTTCAAACGACTTTGCAGTCTGATGCACATACAGAGACAGTAAAAGATGAGTGGTGGCCAGAGGTTCAGAGGGTGGGGCTAGGTAAGGAATAGCACAGGGCATTTTAATGACATTCAAACTGTACCATGGTGATACTGTAATGGTGGGCATTATGTATTTGTCAAAATCAACAAAGATCCCAGTGCAGTTAGTTATAACCAACCAATTGCCCATGAGTCAATTCCAACTCATGATCACTCCATGTGTCAGAGTAAAACAGGGCTACTCCTAGGGTTCTCAATAGCTCATTTTTTGGAAGTAAATCGCGAAGCTGGATGGGCTCAAGCCTCCAGTCTTTAGGTGAGAGGTCCAGCTTGTTTACCACCACCGAAGGACTCCTTCGTTAATAATAATGTCTCAGGAAGGAGCTCTGGTAGCTTTGTTGTTGGTAAGTGCTGT